AAGCATCAACTCCAACATTGGTAAAGGGTGGAGTATGTTCTAAGCGATCTGCTGGTAGATCACTCATCAACTGGACTTCTTCTTTACCTCGTAACTTTCTACACTGGACACAGGAGTGTAAGATTGATGAGATCAACCGTTTCACGCCTGTAATCCAATATCCACCAGATCTAACAGCTCCTTCTGTAAGATGACGTCCTTGGTGTCGAACACTTTGGTGATAGTGACGTACTATAAGTGTAGAAATATGACTTTTACCAGGCCACTTCCTTTGATTGCAAAAGCAACAGTATTTACTAGGCGATACCACTCAGAGAACCTTTCAAATCTGTGACACCCAATTGATAAATTGTCAATCACACAGGTTTTAGCTGCCTTTACCAGAGCATCTGGCCTTACTTCCTTATCATCTTCTGGTTGAACTAGCTGTGGAGTTTCTTGAGCAAGATCATGACGCCTACTCAAGAATGTTTCAGGTCCTTTCAGCCATATGTCGTCACACGAGAAATCATTCACCATAGAGCGAGTTGCTCGATCAGCTGGATTCACAGATGTAGGAACATAATTCCATTGTTCTGGCTTAGTTGACCTGTGAATACGGTTCACTCTATTCTCAACATACACATAAAATCGTCTTGTTTGGTTGTGGATGTAGCCAAGAACTACTTTACTGTCAGTGTAAAATTTCACTATATCAATTTCTTCATCAAGGTTCTCAAGTACCACTTCACTAAGTTCTACTGCAAGTACTGCAGCACACAATTCTAGACGAGGTATAGTATGCCCATGCAAGGGTGCAATTTTAGCTTTCCCCATCACAAATCCAATTTCTGAACTGCCATCTTCGTGTACAGTTTTCAAATATGAGACAGCAGCAATTGACTCTTTGGAAGCATCTGAAAAGACATGCAATTCTTTTTTGACTTCTGTTGACAAGGATGCTGGAACATACATTCTTGGTATTTTCAAACTTTGTAAGGTCTTAATACGGTCTTTCCAAACTTTCCATTCCCTCATCCAGTTTTCTGGTAGAGGTTCATCCCAATCAATAGTCCCAGATAAGAACTTTCGCAGAAGCAACTTGCCTAGAACTGTAAGCGGGGCTGCAAATCCTAGAGGATCATAAATGCTGTTGACTGTTGACAGCACACCTCTACGAGTGAAGGGTTTATCTTCTTCTGCAATCCTATAAGTAAAGATATCTGCTTGAAGATCCCAATATAATCCTAAACTTCTCTGCAACGGAAGATGTTCAGCATCAAAGTCCATGTCCTTCAAATCTTGAGAGATCGTCACCTGGCAAGGCTGACATGACTTCTTGGCTGTTTGAAACAAATTTGTGAAGTCTCAAATTTCCATAATCTGCTAGACCCTTCTGAGTTCTTGTCAGTAGGTTAATAGCTTCTTCAGTACTTGATAGAGATATCAGACCATCATCAACATAAAAATGTCGCTGGACAAATTTTGTGACGTCTTCACCATATGTACTTCCTGCAGCTTCAGCAGTCTTCTGTAGTCCATATATTGCTACTGGGTGATGGACTATTTCCAAAAACATGTCTGGTCATACGATATTCAATAAGTTCTTTACTTAAATCATTGTCTTTGTGCCACAAAAAACGAAGATAGTTTCTGTGTTCTTTATGTACTTCAAATGAATAAAACATCATCTCAATATCTGCTAATACAGCCACTCTGTTCTTTCGAAAACGTAGAAGTACACCCAACAGAGAATTATTTAGGTCTGGACCTGTCATCAACACATCATTCAATGATGTACCTCTAAACTTAGCAGCAGAGTCAAAAACACACCTGATACGACTAGGTTTCTTTGGATGATACACTCCAAACACTGGAAGATACCAACATTCTTCATTTTCTTTCAAAGGTGGTGCTATTTCAGCATGACCTCTTTCCAAAAGCTTTTTCATAAAGTCTAGGAAATGTTCTCTTTTAACAGAATTGAACTGAAGACTCTTGGCTAGGCTATTGGCACGTCTCACAGCCATGGATTTATTGTTCGGTAATCTTTTCTTTAAGGGCTTAAAAGGTAAAGGTGCACTCCAGTTACCTGCTGTTCTTTGACAAATTCTTTCTCCATTAACTTCAAGAACATTTTGTCTTCTGTGGATTTTCCAGGTTCGTCATCATTTTTGGTTCGGTGAAACACTGTAGAACCAATATCATTTTCCTTCCATGGTGTAAAACCGCTGTGATATCCTGTGTCTTCTTGTACACATATACAACTTGGACAAGGCTTCAAGACTGATGGTCGACCATCAGGATTTACATATATTTTCCTTACATTCACATTCTTTGTTGCGTGATGCTTCCCCAGGCAGACTTCACCTACAATTACCCAGCCTAACTTCATCTTCTGGGCAAAGGGTGTACCTGGTGGACCTGTTACTTGATCTAGTACATGGAGCTTCGGTAGATCTCTACCAATCAATAATTGAATCTGAGCCTGATCATCAAGAGGTGAAATTTCTGAACCAATGTCTTTGAGGTGTGGATGAAGTCGAGCAATGTTGGGAGTTGGAATCTCAGTCCTATTATTAGGAAGTTCATCACATTCGATGACTGTAGGAAGGCTCATCTGTAGACTACCATCAACAGCTTGTATGCATAGTCCACCAGCTTTCCTTCCTGTCATAACTGAACGGCCAGAGCAACTAGTTATGATGTATTCCTCTGCCACAGAGCGAACATCAAAGAAATCTAAAAGCTCTCCTTTAGCTAAAGATTTGTTACTCTGATCATCTAATATAACATATGACTTCATACGCTTCCTCGGGTTACTCTCATGAAAAACGTAAACTGGCAAAATTTTAGCACAAGACTTTCCAGGAAATTCCTCACATACACCAGTACTCTTGTTGGTCACATCTAAAGCTTGTTCACGTACTGACTCTTTAACAACACTCTGCTCCGGCTTCTCCCTGCCATGAGCCTTAGTACTTGTCTCAGGAACAGACTGAAATTTCTTCAAATGCATAGCAGTGCAATGGTATTTACTTCCACAGTCTTTACAGGTTATGTCCTCTGGACAATCTCTACTTAAGTGGTTCTTCGAGATGCAACACTTAAAACATATTCTATTTTCTTTCAGAAGTTTCTTGCGTTCTTCTAAAGACTTTGACTTAAAGCTTTTACATTCATGTAGAGAATGGTTGGTCCCATGTATTATACATTTAAGGGCTTCTTCATCAGGCACTACAGTCTTCTTTGTAGTTACTTTAAATTTATCTAGCTTTGAAGTCTTGTCTATATGAGATTTTACTTCTGGCTCAAAATTAAATCCTGGATCATTATGGATTTGTGCAACGTCAGAAATGAAGTCTACAAAATAAGAAAAGGGTGGGAATAACACACCTTGTGTTTTCTTGTAGTTGGATGCTTTGTCTCGCCATTTTCCTTGTACTGAAGGAGGTAACTTGCTTATCACAGGGTTTATTCCTGCAGATGTGTCAAAGTGTCCAAACAGTTTCTCGTAAAGTGGATTTTCTTTAAGCGACTGTACTTCGCAAGAAGATCATGCAGATCATACAGTTTCTTGGGATCTCTGAACGTAACCTTAGGAAACTTTTCTAGTTTCTTCTTGATAGATGCTTCAATAATCTCAGGACTGCCATATCTATCTTCAAGCCTCTTCCATATCAACTTGATGCACTTACTTGGATCATGTATATTGGAAGTCCTTATACTCTGCGCAAATTTGGACGACTCAGGGCCCAGCCACCGGAGTAAAAGGTCAACTTCTTCCAAAGACGTAACATGCAGATCTTGAATGGTCTGCTGAAAAGTAGTTTTCCAAGGCACATAAGACTCAGGACGATCATCAAATGGACTGAAACGTGCCAGGGAAAGTTCCTTCTTCAAAAGGAAACGCGACAATTCTCCACAACAACTGTTACTCACAGGATTAGCCTTGGCATCACTGGGCTGACTACGAAGAGGTTGTATGACAGGCATAGCTTGTTCCAAAGAAGGGTTGAGATCAAATTCTGGTACCTTGTTCTGATCTTCCACGTACTGCTTGACACGACTTAAAGAATCTGCTGCTCTTGCTGCAGGAGTTCTTGTGAAAGAACTTTCTGTTGTAACTGTACACCAGGTATTCTACCTGAAATAGATGACAACTTATCACTACTTTCTTCACACACTACTCTGTACTCAACTTCAGCCAACTGAGCATTGCGACGAGACACACATAATTCTAATTCTGCTTCAATTTCTGCCTCCTCACACTGTAACTTTGCTTTTCTTTTCTTTATTTCTGCCTCTTTCAATGCACTTTCAAGCTTAACTTTTGTGGCTTCAGCTTGTATTCTTTTACTTAACAACATAGCTGAGACACTTTCTGCAACTGATTTAGCACTTAATTTCTCCGAGCACTCAGACTTAACTTCTTCAACTGCATATCTTTTATCAAGATATTCTAACTCTTTCTTTATATCACGTATGATCACATCACTTTTTGCTTTGTATTTCATATAATCTTTCCTGCTTTCTTCCGTATTTGTTCTACTCAAATACTCTAAAAACTGATTTACACACCTTGAATAAGAATCTAAGTTCTTTTCAAGAGCTTTCTTATATTCACTATCACTTTCTGCGGCTGCACCGCCTTTATAATACCTTAACATTAGGTCTTCAACTGTACACTGCACTTGAGAGAGCTGATCCAAATATTTGGTGGTTGTGGAAATGTACAGTTCTTCTCCTTTTTCTGTAAGGGTCCTTATTCTTGCTCCAGACGGTCTTGTTTCATCTGGGTCTAACTGTGGGTGGGGTTCCTGCTGTGGATCCTCCTCCGCTTCCATTTTAATGTGAACGTCTGCGTTGCTTGTAGTCGACATGCTGAACAAAGTTATTCGGCAAGATGCTGAGAGAGACTTTCCTTTGTTGATAGTTGTATAACTCTTCACTCAACAGAAGGCTGACTCTTTTCACTCAGCTTGTTAGATATCTCACTCTTCTCACTCTGGGCATAGAAGATGGCTGGCAACTATTTTCACAATAGGCTTGGAAGAAGGCTAGCTACTCTTTGCACTGTAGCCTTAGAAGAAGGGCTAGCAACTCTTTTCACTGTAGCCTTAGAAGAAGGGCTAGCAACTCTTTTCACTGTACTGCCTCCAGTAAAACACTAGCAGTCAGTTAAACCTTTATTGTCATGATCACAAGCTGGTAGGTATGAGCAGTGTATCCAACTTGCAAGATGACAACATACACGTACGCGTGAGTGTGCACGTGATGTGAGGTGAAAAGAGTGTGGCTGGCCCAAATCTTCATAAAACAAGAATAATTTAAAAGTACGCAGCACAAGACGTCTCACGTGGCTCTCTAGAGGGGCTCCGCGGATTCACAACAATGCGTTTTTGTAAGGCGTTCGTACAACTCTAACGTCACTGTAGCCAACATTACAAACTAAATGAAATTAAATAATCATTCTCATGTTAATACATTAAATCAAATAAATTCTTGATCTAAACTCTATATATATAATATCAGACAAGGAATCCTTGATTCCGTTACAATTACCATCATTATCATTCTGCTGCTCCTTTGTCTATCGTCGCTGCACCAACTCCACCAAGGCCTATAAGTATGACCACATGCCTCTCCCTCAGGTGGCCGAGCTCACGCGGCTGTCTCAGACGCTGATGCTGGTCCCGAACCTGCACTGGCTCGTCGCCGAAGACGCCGTGGCGCCCACGAGACAAGTCCTCGCCTTCCTGGACTCCTGCAGCGTGCCGCACACCTATCTCTTGGGTAGGTTGTTTGGGGGAGGACCGGGGAGGGGGAGGACGGGAGACAGGGGAGAGAGAGCCGGCAGGGCAGAAAACGAAGAAAAGACGGACAAAGCAGCGGTCGCACGTGACAAGGGGACCTTGGTTGGCACACCCGCCACCTAGCGAAGTCTGGGAGGGTGGCCTTAGGGCAGAGGGATTAGAGGCAAAATTCCCATGGCATTTAAGATGGTTATGCTCTTTTTACTCGTCATATATATTGATATCATTGTGATTAATAATGTATGAGAAACGGAGTGGATGCACGTCGGTATTTGTAGGTCAAATGAACGTCCGATTTGATAACCTTGGAAATTCTAATAAGGCTTCCATGATAGTTGTAATATATATCTTTTATCTCCACAATTGTCCTAGCATGAATTCATAAGCACTATTTAGAGAATTAAGTAATGAGCTCACTAGTAATTTTACTACATTTTTTGTTTTGCATCATCGAATCTTGCTCTCTCGTGCGATAGGTCGGGAAGCTCACTCCGGCGGGCTGATCCGCACGGGATCCGGGGAAGACACGCGGAATCGCAAACATTTTAGGCTAACTTCAAAGTGACTTTAATGGCGTTCCTGTTTATGAAGGCGTTTAACTAACATCTAAGAAGAGATGGCAGGTAGACGGTTGAGTTCATAAACTATGGATGAGTCTCAAAGAGGGGAGATATGAGGGTGAATGGGAGACCGGAGAGGGTTATGAGGTAGAGCTTTGAACAAGGGAAATGTAAACAAAGCAGCTAATGATATTTTAGCTTTTCCTTATCATATTCTCGTATTTATTTTTCCTCCTATGTTAATTCGATTCTCTTAAGGCCGTGTCACACCAGCACTTTTTCCGCATTACTTTTCCGCTGGCACCACGGAAATCGTGGTCATTTTGGCTCGCGCAGACACACTAGCGATGAGAACCACGGAAACAGTCCGACCAAAATTCTAAACACAGAAAGATGGATTCAACCCCCGCACAGGCTCTGGCGCTGATGGACGTTATTCTGGCTATGTGACGACGATTTAATGCGAAACAACGAATGTATAAGGCTAAATAAGGGCGTATTCTCGCTACTCTCATCTAGTTAGCTGACGGGGACAAGTGTAAACAAACAGGCGAGGAGCTAGTTACAAACTTATATCTGTTTTTATTAAATACAAGAGAGAATTTTGCCAATTTTAAAATATTATTTGCAATTTAGACTGTCTTTTTTAATCGTTTTGTATTATAAATATTTTTTTGTTACATTACTGTAACGATTATCTATTATAGCTTATCATTTGAACGAAAAAGACCACGGAAACTTGCTAGCGAAAACGATAATTATCGTTTGACTGGAATTTATCGCATTCACCCAAAATACAAGCGATAACGAGAAAAAAAAAACATGGAAACGTCAAAGAACCATGGAAATTGTGCTGATGTGACACCCCCTTTACAAAACACACCACTCACGAATGCTTCAGCAACTGGCCTCCACCAACAGTTGAATCCGACCTCCTGAGACACGCCAGCGCGCAACAAGCCAATTCCCGAAGCTGAAGCTGGTCACATAGTCGTGTCTCTTGGCCACAGTACTTCCATTTCTTTTATTACTATTACTGCTGTTGACGCCACGGGCACTACTATTATTTCCACTAATACTGAAGATTTTTTTTATTATGTTTCTGCTAATATAACCCACTTTTCTGAGCAATACTTTTTAACAACCACCGTAACTACCACTACTACCTGGTTCTCACTTCAGTTCAGTCACTTTACTTCTCTTTCTCCTCTCATTCCACCCTCATCCCCAGGGAGGGCGTCGAGGCGGTACAAGGGCGCGAGCAAACCCAGGGGCGTGAGCAACCGCAACGCAGGACTCAAGTGGCTCAAGACGCACGCTTCCGAGGGCGTCATCTACTTCGCCGACGACGACAACACCTACGACTATAGGATCTTCCAGGAGGTCGGTCTTGCCTCAGGTTATGGTGCAGCTCTAGTGGGTTTGGCATTTGAGTGGCTTGTGTGCGGTCGCGGTGCAAGATGTGTGATTTGATGTTTGTTTTTGTTGATAAATAGTCTTCGCTTTTGCGTGTGCGATTTAAAATGTGATTTCAGGTTTTATGAGAGGTTGTTAATTGTGTAATTTTATTATTCATTTTCAAGAGATCATTTTCTATGTTTTTGTTTGTTTGTTCTTTGTTTTAGCTTGGCTACTTTGTGTTTTCTTGTGATTAGAAGTGTACTTCCGTTTTGTTTTTGTTTGGGTATAGGTATTTGTTATTATCGCGTTGTTGGTGCATTGTTTAGGTTGTTGTTTTTTTCTATTTTTCGTTTTATTCTTTTTGGTTTATGATTATGATCACCACATACCAGGAATATATTTTGAAGACTTAAGGGGTATTTCTTTCTATAATTTCTTACTGATTTTATTGCAGTTCACATTACCAGATATCCTATCTTTACTACTAATAGATTACCCTGCCCTATTTGTCCTATTTCTAGTGGCAGTTCTTTAATTATGATTGTTGTCATTGCTATTAGTACTAGTAAGTACTAGTAGTAGTAACTACTTTATTTTTATTCTACCACCACTCCTACCACTCCACCCCCCTCGGCCGCCAGATCCGGGCGACGCGGCAGGTGTCTATGTTCCCCGTGGGCCTCGTGACCCGCCTGGGCGTGTCCTCGCCCATCGTCGCCGAGGGGAAGGTCATCGGCTTCTACGACGGCTGGATCGCCGGCCGCAAGTTCCCCGTGGACATGGCGGGCTTCGCCGTCAACCTCAGGTTCTACCTCGAGGTGAGGCTCCGAGAGGGAAGGGGTTTGGCTCTATGGGGGTCGGGTATCTCGTGGGGGGGGGGGGGCATGAGAGCGTATCTCGTGGTGAGCTTTGGTTGCGGGGGTAGGGGCGAGCAAGGTCTATATAAGTACTTATATAGACCTTGGGGGCGAGGGCATGAGAGGGCAAGGTCTATATAAGTACAGGTCTCGTCACTAAGCGACTCAAATTCGTCCATCTCGCGCATGACGTCATCTGGAGACCGAGCCTGGGGGTTCGATGCTATTGTGTGGTCATTCTTTGATGTGAGGTAGAGCCGTAAGGATCTCTCCCTCTCTCCGTTTTCGCTCGCTTGACTGATCGGCGCCTGCAGAACCACAATACCCAGTGATTGGTTGCAGCTTATTTATGTACATTTATGTTATTAATATGTTTATGTATTGCCATTATTATTATTATTATTATTATTAACATTATTATTGTTATTGTTGTATGATTTGTTTTATAATAAATTCGTCAAAAAACATTTGGAGTTTACATATGCCATGTCTTTTTTTTTTTGCGTCTTTATTATGCCATTTCTAAGCTGCAACATGAAAATTACAAAACTAAATTGACGTAGAATATGTGATATAGGCCTATAAACAATCGCTGATAATCATCGCCTGTAAAATCTGTTCAATATGCAAATCGTTCAACGTGCCGACATCTAAAATTACTTAAGTATCAGCTCATTTACCACCGTTTTCTATTATCTCCCTCCCACCCTACCATGCTCTAATTCCCCCGGCCCCCCTTGCTCTCAGCTCTCTCCAAGTGACGTCATAGGCCTTATCACCCAAAGCTGCGCAGAACTCCGAAGTGACGAGACCTGTACTTATATAGACCTTGTGAGAGGGTATCTCTTGGTGGGCTTTCAGACGGGACAAGGGGCATGAGAGGGTTTCATGGGGAGCTTTGGGGGTGGGGGGAGGGCGATGGGTCTGTGAGAAGGTCTGTGAGGGTGGGGAGGGGGGATCGAAGTAGATAGGAGAGGGATTGGGGAAAGGGGAGCTCCTATGTTTTTTTATGCAGGATAGGAAGAAAAGGAGACAGTGGAACAAGCTAGCTGAAGCTTAGGAAGAAAAGGTCAGAAATTGAAGCAGAGAGAGATGTAGAAAGTAGTAGGGCAGACCTACTTACTGCTTATTTAAACTTTATTTACAATATAAAGGTTATATACAGGTTACTTGAGTTGGCTTATGCATTCAGAAATACTGCTTTTACTATGCGATTGTTGCATAGTCCAGCATCGGCTTCCCACTCTCGATGTAGGGTGATATTCGTCTCCACCACGAGTGGTCGGTCACAAGAGGGAAGTTGTTCTCTTCGAGTAATCGTGTCGTCAGTTCTTCGTCTATGATTTCAAATTTGAATTTTTTTTGCCAAGTTGTAGATTCTGGTATTTATTGCCTCTAGTTTGTATTTGCCATGTAGTTCTGCTATTGATAACAGATTATCTTCCTCGTTCCTCCTTGTTGCTGTCCGAGGGACTCAATGAAATGGACAGGGGTATGGCCGGGTAGTCCATGAATGGTCTAATAAGGGTTTTGTAGAAGTGGAGTTGTATCTTTGAACTCATTTTCGCAAACCGTTCGAGTTTGGTGTACTAGTACGTGGCCATTGCAAGTCTTCGTTTTATATCCGTTGATACTCCTCGTGTACTAAATTCCATGCCGAGTACTGTGACTTTGTTTTTGAGTGGTAATCTTTCGTTGTCAACTACTAGTTCCCTTGGTTTTGTTGCTGATATTGATTGTACTTGAAATTTGTTTTTGTTGGTCTTGATCTTCCATTTATTGTCATTTATTCTTCTTATTTCGTTCACCGTTGTTGTTGCTATTGTCTCTTTCTTATTTAAGGGGTATATTATGATCTGGGTGTTATCATCTGCAAAACTCACATCTGCACAGTTGTTCCTGGGTCTTTCGAGGTCAGCTGTGTAAAATATGAATAAGGTTGGGCTCAATATTGATCCTTGAGGCACGCCACTTCGTAAAGGAACTTAAGTCCCACTATGTTCCCAATCTTAAGTGTTGCCGTGCGGTCATCTAGAAAATTGCAAAGGGTTTTCTCGATGATGTCTGGGTGATTTATTTGCAGAATTTTGAAGTGGAGTCCTGGTTTCCAAAGTTTGCCAAATGCCTTTGCTATGTCACGACATACAATATTATATTGCTGTCTCTTTCTTTGGGATATTGCAATGGTTTTGTATATGGAAGTTATAGCTTGTTGTGTGCCTCCTTTCCTGAAACCCATAATGATTTGGGTTGAATAGACCATTGTTCTCCATGTGCATTTCCATTCTGTTATTGATGACTTTTTCGAAGATCTTACCAGGTATTTCTAATAGGGATATTGGTCTATGATTTTCAACTTTTCTGATGTCTTTTCCTGCTTTTGTTATTAAGACCATTATGGCATTTTTAAATTTTGTTGGAAAATAGCCCATTGAAAGAGCCCAGTTGAGAATTGTCTTCAGTTCTGCAATGGCAACATCCGGGAGATGCTGCATTACAGTCTTTCTCACGCCACTTTGACCGGGGGCTTTATCCTTAAAGTTTTTAATTATAGACTTGATATCTCCTGTTGTGATGGGTCTTGTGAGAGGGTTATCATTGTTAAGTTTGATTGCTCTGTGTTCTTCTATAGGGGAGAAGTCTGTGTCTATTATTTGTGAGGTAATCTTGCACCATAGCTTCGTGTTGCATATCAAAGTTGCGGTTATCTTCATCGTCGATTTTAAAAACGTTTTTCCAGAATCTTCGAAAAACCTCCTCTTGGTCGTCTGATATTTTCTCATTATTGGTGTTTAGGATGTAAGTTGTTTCTTTACGGCTGCTTCCTTTTAGTCTATTTACTTTTTTCTATAACTTTTTAGGGTTATTGTACTATGTTTCTGTTTCCTCCGTAAGTTTGTTCCAGTGGTTTGTGGCTAATGTTTTGCTTTCCTCCTTCATTTCTTCCTGAAGTTGCTTGCACTGAGTGCGTAGAAGTGGTGTCCATCCAAGATGTACTTTTATCTCTAAGATGTTTCTGTACCTCCATGTAAGCAGCTTGAGATGGTTGCTTGTCAAGGGGTGAGGCAGAGTTATGTAATTTTTCGTGGGGATTGCTTTGTTCATTGCATCTTCAATCGTTGCATACCAGCTATCGATTTTATTGTCAACGTATTCTTTATCAAGTGTGAACTCTTCTCCTGTAGGTTGGTCCATATGTTGTTCCATATCTCTTTTGAAAAGTTCCTAGTTAGCCCTTTTGTAGTCATACCTTTCTGTTTGCGGGATCATGATGGGTGATGTTGCCAGGGTGAAGATAATTGGAATGTGATCCGATATTAGTGGTCCTTCTTGTATGACATAATTCATGTGTATATTTCTATTTCCTATTATGATGTCAGGTCTTCCTTTCCCTCTCGCACTTACGAAAATGTCGAAGTCTGGTCCAAGGTGGGTGATTATGTTACGGTGTATCAGGTTAATCAACTCGCTGACCGTTAGATTATTATTTTATCCGAGTGAGCGATGTCGGGCATTTAGGTCGGCTATTAAGTAAGCTGGAATGTTCCTTTTCATGATTTTCATAATTTCCGGATATGGGAATTGGGGTCGTCTGGGTGGCATGTATGCCGTCTCGAGAACGAAGCTTCCTCAGTCTGTGTATAATTCTACCGCGAGAAACTCTTGGGTAAAATCATTAATGAGTCTGTATTTTGTTTCTTTGAACGGCAATAGCGACTCCGGCGTCCCCTTCATTCAAAATGTTTCTTTGACAAACATTATATCCAAACAGTTTAATAGTTTCCTCCTTCTGTAGCAATACTATATAAAGCGTTTTAAGCAGGGGAGCGCTTGGCAAGAATTCTTGCCAAGCGCTGTACTGTTCCCTGCTTAAAACGCTTTCCAAGGCAGGCAGGACCTATTCGGTGATGCCAGACATGTGGCATAACAAATCATAACAGTCTTTGATGAGCATAGAAATATCAAAATAACACACGAAATATACATACTTGGGTTTTAAAAGCAATATTCCCACCAACAATCTCGGAAAGAGATAACTTATGCACAAGTCGAGGGTGGAGTTTATTTCACCTGCGGTTGGTAACAGTTTGAGCGCGCAATTCAAAACAACTGACAAGCTAGCGCCGCATCAAGATGGCAGAGAAGTAAATAAATCTACCCAAACATCTTAACAAAGCGCTATATTTTCTCCTATATTCATGTAAAGTGCCTCTAAAACAATGACACACACTTTCGATTGACAGCCCTTTCATTCTGACGCGTTAGCAAAACAAATGAATATCCCTGAATTAAAATATAGGCCTACCCATTCCCATATCGATTTGATGAGGTTGAATATAACAAATCATCGAATATAATATCAACAGAAGAATGTTGCTAGACTTTTTCACTTGAAATATTCTTTATTTCATAAAATAGCAGATATATTCTCGATTTAGAAAGACGAGAAGTTTAACAATAAGAGGAAAATTGTTCGTCTTATAATCAGTTATTATTCATAAGTAAAACTTTTTATTCCCATAATCTCCGTTATCTCCTTTCCTTTTTAGTTAATTTCAATTTCTTTGAATATGATTTTAAGAAAATTATAGAATCAGATACCGTGAAAAAAATATTTATTTGATAAGATATTAAGCGGAGTTCCTGGCTAACGCCCGCATTCGAAAGATTGTGACCAGTACGGTACGCGACCGACGCCGTTGCCATGGTGACGGTACACCGCTTGACTTAGCAAGCGCAAGTCAAGCCATCTACGGAGGTCGCTTGAGAAAGCAAGCGAAATGCTTGAGTTAGCAAGAAAAACGCTTATTTCAGGCAAGAACTTTCCCTGCTTAAAACGCTTTAGGTCTTCTGTCAAATACATGTTTGATAATTCATGTTTCCTTGTTAAGGACATTATGTTGAAATATTTTGTATCTTTTTTGGTCATAGTGTAGATTATATAATATCAGGCTCTGTAGAGGATTTTCTGGCAGTCTGCTGCTCTGCTCTCGTTCCATTAACAATTCTGTCGAAAGCTTGATTACTGACGTACTGTATTCTGTATCCAGTGAGATCAATAGTCCTGTTTAGTATGTTATCTTTAATAAGTCGGTCATCAAAGATATCTTCGTGGAGGTATGTGTATTTAATGATATTTGATTTCATCAAATTTACGTGATCATTGCTTTCCTCTCTTGCCCGAAGTTTTATCTCTGGCAATCTATGTAGTCTGACCTCTTTAGCCTTTGCAACATCCGGCCTCTCTGGACGGTTCTCTTAATTTTGATGTTGATGTGGATAATGGTTGATTGGTGGCGGTAAACAGTTCCTCTTCGTTATTAATTTCCTTCTCTTGTGCATGTTTATTTGTTTCAAACTTTTTCGTTTTTGATACCGTTTCTTGGGTTGGAGTAGTCTCTCTGTTCCTCTTGTTATCTTCTTGTTCCTTCTGTTTCGTCTCGATTTGCCATTGTCGGTATATTGTTATTCGTATTTATTAGTACGCCAAGTGTTTCCGTTGCATGCACTTGGTCAGGAAATCTGACCTTGGGATGATTATTTAGGACTTACATCTTATCGATTGTTTCCTGGAAACTGCCTGGTACTCTGGCTTCCTGAGTATATGCAAATGATATGGCACTCATGATACAGGCAGCTGCGTTCGGTGGGAGAGAACTTAACATCTGGTGGTAGTTGCTCTGCTCCTTGTTCATTGTGGTTGGTTGTTGCTGTTGCCCCTGCGTAGGTTGTTGGACGTGATGTGTCAGCGGTGATCTGTCTTCTCTCTGTTTGCCTTTGCTCTTTCGTTTGTTCTTTAATAATTCTTTTCCGTGTCGAACATTTTGCTGCAAGTGTTCGGTGGTTACCGTTGCAGTTTAGGCATTGCTTTGTGTTTTCCCTGCAATCCTTGTGTAATCTTTGGAGACACATACAGAACAAGCTTGTAAGTGTCATTCCCTTTGCAATCTTTGACTACATGATCGTACTTATAATATCTGTAACATGGAACAAGGTTGATAAAGATGTCATTTTCAACGAATCTAGGAGGCATAGATTGGAATAGAATTAACATTCCATTTTCTAGTGATCGTTTTGCCATTTGGGTGGTTTCAAATCTTATTTTTAGGATAGAGGTTGCATTAGGTATTTTAATAATCTGCTCTATATTTGCCCAAGCATTCTCATTTTCTATGCTCCCCTTAATTTTTTAATCACTGAACTCAGAGATTTGCTTGTCAACGTTCCTTATTACTATGGTTCTCATTACATCATATTCGGGTGGGTCCTGAATCTCAAAGTTATGCTTCAGGAAGGTGGCTTTGCATTCCTTGGACACCATGGACTGTTTGGTCGCTAGTGACCACAAAGTAGACATTTTTATAATCTACTTTTGAAACAGTAATTTATGATTGTCCTATGCATTGACAAAGTCGTGCTCTCCTGTTTGGATTAACAGATCTTTTATCTTTAATTCTGATTCTTGGCATTGTGAATCAGTCAAGAGTTGTAATGGTAGTTCATGTTGCCTTATGGTTGTTTGCCTGGGCCTAGTGAAGGCAGTGCTGTCTCGGTTGTTTGCGGGCAGTTTGGCAATTAGCCTTCCGCCTAAGCTCGCCGTTTCTATTCAATTCTGTTTCTTTGTTAATGCCAACTTATGTTGGATGGCTAATTAATTAAATTCCTATCTATGCCAGCACGGGACAGGTGTCATGAGCCGGGACGATGACGGCGACCTTACACCGAAGAAGGAGTTGTCAGCCCACAAGGGCTACCTCCCTAGAATGCAAGGCGGGTCATAGTGTACAGGAGCACCAGTGGGAACGTGTTAACGGTCTGGGTACCCTGAGCGTTCTGAGCTCGTGGGGTGTTGTGGTATAAGCAGGATGGAGGGGTGGGAGGTGGGAGGGCGAGGGTGAGAGTGAGGGTGAAGGAGAGGGAGGAAAGGGGGGATCACAGAGCTCTGAGAGAGCGGTTCAGGGATTCGAGGGGGTGGGGGAGAAGAAAGAAGGAAGGGGTGAAGATATGTATCCATAGCAATGTGCCTGAAATGTGAATGCAATAAACGCATATGAGTGCGCGCGTGTGCATGAGAGTTTATTCTGTGAGCAGATAAATAACTTCTTAATTACTTGCTGAGGAAACAAAACTCAAATCCAAAATCCAGAGAAAGAAAGAAATATATGTATGTATATATATATATATATATATATATATATATATATAATATATATATATTTTAATATATGTATATACATATATATTTATATGTAACACACACACACACACACACACACACACACACACACACACACACACACACACACACAACATATAATATATATATATATATATATATATATATATATATATATACATATGTATGTATACACTTGGTAGAAAAACCCACAATGGTCAATGCATTGTCTTCCCTTCCGCTGATGTCCACGCCCGCAGACTGGTGGAATCTTCCCTGATTAAGCGGTTTTTCTCCTGCCGACAGTCTCGTCGCTTCCCATATCCTCCGCGTCTTTCCCTATGCCTGACCTGACCTCCTTTCGGTTCCTTTCTCCTGTCCTCACCTGCCCCGTATTTCCCCTGTGCTTCTCCTCCTCTCCCTCTTATATTACCTCTTCTCCCTTTCCTCCTAAACCACCATCTTACATTATTTGCAGAATTGTGAACACACGCAATTTCTATGACAGAGACCAACCACCACAGCCGCCGGGCTGGTATAAGGGGTATGCCACATGTCTACACTGTGGCAGCTGGATCACTTGCTTGCAATCCAGCCACAGCGATAAGCATACAGTTCAAAGAAAACACATGAGGTAACCAGATATAGTTGAAACAGGCCGGGCCACTCTAGAGAAAAGGCCCGGGCGAAGCTAGTCTTCGCAAATCTAACTGAACTGAATTTCCTCCTCAGACCCGAAGATGGAATCGAGGATGATTCCGAAACTGTTGTCTCACTTTCTTCAATAAATCTAGTTTGTGCATTGTGTGTTTTTCTACCATAGTATCAACACGGTAGTGTTTTTTCTACTCATTCATGTATACACTTGAAAAATAATTGTCCACACGCACCACGTGCAAAAAGACCTAACGCTTTCATTTCCGCCCCCAGAGAAACGCACCTCTGATGCCTTACAGCGTGGGTTTCGAGGAGGACGGTTTCCTGAAGGCGCTCAACTTCAGCCCCAGCGATATCGAGCCGCTAGCCGACAACTGCACCAAGGTTGGTCGGAAGGCAGCAGGTGGAGGGGGAGGGCAGGAGGGGTTAGCAAGGGGGCGGGGTGCTCTGGAAAGCGAAGGGGAGTTAACAGGTTTGGAGAGGAGTGGTTTAGAAAAAGAAGCGGTAGGTAACAGGCTAAAGAGAGAAAGGGCAGTAATTTAGAAAGAACGTGGGTTAAGGGAGGCGCCGCGGTGAATTAGGAAAGTAGGTAAGGGTTTGGAAAGGGATAAGATATATTAGAAAGGGAACAGGGTGCTCCGGAAAAGGGGCGGAGCGATTTAGAAAGGATAGCAGGTTGTTTAGCAAGGTGCAGAGTGATTCGAAAAAAGGCAGGTTACATTCAAAGAGCCAGAAAGTAGTGAGTTTTTTTTAGATATGAATGATGTAGTTTATCATGGCTGAGAGAGTGGTTTCCAAAAGGAGGTTGGGTGGTATACAAAGGTCTGATTAACATAGAAAGGGGTCGAGTGGTTTAGAAAGAGATGGATGGCTTAGAAACCTTTTTCTCTTCGCTTTTTCCCTCTCTCCATCTGTCTTTGTATCTGTTTCTTCATCACCCTCTCTCTCTCTCTCTCTCTCTCTCTCTCTCTCTCTCTCTCTCTCTCTCTCTCTCTCTCTCTCTCTTCTCTCTCTCTCTCTCTCTCTCTCTCTCACTATCAGAGTTTTGTAAATTCATTGATTTTCATAAATGTTTTCTTGCACCATTCGTTAATCATTTTAATCAAAGCCTTTGTATTATATGTTTCTTTCATTCATTATTCATAATTACTTTACAGTATTATCTTTTACTTCATTTTCCTTCATTCTCATAATTACTCTTCATTTTACAAGTCATCCTTTTTAATTGAATTCGTTCACTCTTTCCATTGTCCAGTTCACATAGTTCCTTATTCTCTCTCATTCCATTCACTTATTCACTCATTTCCTTTCCCTCTTTCCTCCCCCAATTATTCCCCTCCTTTACCCCCTCCCTCTCGACAGATCATGGTGTGGCATACGAGGACTGTCAAGAGCCTGCCAGCGGTCAAGATGCCGGAGTCCGACAAGGTCCTGAAGACGAACCTTCGGCACCTCAGGAGTCAGATGGTTTTCCAGATGCCTTTCGGGGTATCCTAGAGCTGAGTTACTCGGGGGGGGGGGGTAAGCGTCTTTGTTGGTAGCAGTGTCTCTTTATCTATTGGGGGGGGGGGGGGTAAGCGTTTTTGCTGGTATTAGTGTCTCGCTTTCTATGGGGGGGGGGGGGTAAGCATCATTGTTGGTAGCACTGTCTCTCTATCTATTCGTTGTCAATCATTATTACTATCATTCATTTGCTATTTGTAATTATTGTGTGGTTATTCGCCTATTTTTCGTTATCATTATTGTTGCTTATTCGCTAATTATTCTGTGATATTTTCATTGGTTATTCATTTATTAATTGTTATCATCATTAATTATTCACTTTATATTGTCATTCATTCATTTTGTTATTTTATTACCATTACTCTCTCTCTCTCTCTCTCTCTCTCTCTCTCTCTCTCTCTCTCTCTCTCTCTCTCTCTCTCTCTCTCTCTCTCTCTCTCTCTCTCTCTCTCTCTCTCTCTCTCTCTCTCTCTCTCTCTCTCTCTCTCTCTCTCTCTCTCACACTCTCTCTCTCTCTCACTCTCTCTCTCTCACACTCTCTCTCTCTCTCTCTCTCTCTCTCTCTCTCTCTCTCTCTCTCTCTCTCTCTCTCTCTCTCTCTCTCTCTCTCTCTCTCTCTCTCTCTCTCTCTCTCTCTCCCTTCTTCTCTTTCTCTCTCTCTCTCTCATTCCCTCTCTCCCTATCTCCCTCTCTCCCTCTCTTTCTCTCTATTCTCTCTATTTCTCTCTCTCTCTCTCATTCCTCTCTCCCTATCTCCCTATCTCCCTCTCTCTCTCTCTCTCTCTCTCTCTATTCTCTCTCTCTCTCTCTCTCTCTCTCTCTCTCTCTCTCTCTCTCTCTCTCTCTCTCTCTCTCTCTCTCTCTCTCTCTCTCTCTCTCTCTTCCTCTCTCCTTCTCTTTCTCTCTCTCTCTCTCATTCCCTCTCTCCCTATCTCCCTCTCTCCCTTCTCTTTCTCTCTATTCTCTCTATTTCTCTCTCTCTCTCTCATTCCCTCTCTCCCTATCTCCCTATCTCCCTTCTCTTTCTCTTTCTCTCTATTTTCTCTCTCTCTCTCTCTCTCTCTCTCTCTCTCTCTCTCTCTCTCTCTCTCTCTCTCTCTCTCTCTCTCTCTCTCTCTCTCTCTCTCTCTCTCTCTCTCTCTCTCTCTCTCTCTAACGTGTCCAAGTTGGGTTCCTCTTACTGATTGTATTTTCGCTTACTTGTTTTTTTTTCAGAATATGCATTTATTGTTCATTGATATATTCAATGATAAGTTGAAGATTTTCTCTTTACATATTTAGTTTTTTTATTTCAGTAGTGTTTATTACGTTAATTATTACATTCTCATTTGTTGATGTGTTTGTCAGCGTATCCCCATGAGATCGTATTTATATATCATTGAGTGAATGAAACATTGATATGTTTTTGTTTACCTTTTTATATCATTTCTTACCAGAAAGGCACAATGTTTCCATTCAATTATTTGTATATTTTTTATCTTTTATGGTACTATTATTACTGTTGTTATTATTACCGTTTTCATTGTTATTATCGTTATAGATGTTAGTATCATTACTGTTAATATTATCATTATTAATGTTATTATTATTATCAATATTTTTGTTATGACTTTTATTATCGTCATTATTGTCATTATTATTATTATGATCATTCACATTATCATTAGTATCATTATTATTATTATTATTATTATTATTGACATTATCATTATCATTGTTGTTGCTGTTGTTATCATTATTACTACTAATGTTATCATTGTTGTTGCTGTTGTTATCATTATTACTACTAATGTTATCATTTTTATTATTATTATTATTATTATTATTATTATTATTATTATTATTGTCATTATTATTATTATTATCATTATCATTATCATTACTATCATCATTAATATTATTATTGTGATTATTATCATTATTATTTTTACTATTATTATTATTATCATCTGTATAATTATCATTATCATTATCATCATCATTATTGTTCTTATTGTTATTATCACTCTTATCCTTATTATCATTATTTTTGCTATCATTTTCATTATTATCATTATTACTATTATCATTATTATAATAATCTTTATTTTTACTATTATTACTGTTATTATTATCATTTTTATTATTCTCATTATCA